TGCCAGGGTGGGGACCGACAGTCCCAGTGCTCCCAGCATGTCCCCAGGGCTAGCTGTCCCCAAGTCCTTGGCCCTGCCTGCACCCCCTCATGTTTATCCCAGCCTGCTGTCGCCAAGCGGTGCCCACAGCTGCGGCAGCTTAGGAGGGCGCCTGGGCGGCCCCCGGGACACAGTCCCCTGTCCGGGCTCTTCTCCAGCCATCTGCCACCCCCCAGCCTGGATCAAGAGTGCTGATGTCCCCTGGTCACCAGCAGAGATGCCAGGGGTACAGGAGGGGAAACTGAGGCACGAGGCAGGCAGGAGTGAGGCCATGCAGGGGGCTAGCAGCAGAGCCAAAAGGAGACTCCATGCTTGAGTTATTCTTTTAAAAGCAATTTTTTTCTCCTTGCACGAACTGTCCTGCCTCTTCCCCAGCCCCTTCCTGCCAGGGCTGCCCCTGGCTGGACCTCGGCCACAGCTTTTCCGAGAGGTGCCAGCATGGCTGTTCCCCTCGCTGTGGGAAGCAGCTCCCGTTTTAAAGCCCCACAGAGAGCCCTGACCTCGAGGGCTTCCCGCGGTGATGCGGGACAAGAGCCCACCCTTCCTTCCCGCACGCTTTTCCCACACTTGACAGAGAGCAGGACACAGAGAGATGAATCACCATCATCATCATCACCTCCTGCATCCTCATGGGGAATGCACCAGCCTCTGTGGTGCCCGAGCACCCGGCCCAGAGGAAGGCCAGGAGGAGAGGGGGCCGCAGGATGTGTATGGGAGTGTGGGGGGGGAATTGTTAGCAAGGAGATGATTAAAAATATCCACCCTATTTCTGGCCAGCACTGGGCTGGGATCTGGGAAGAGCTGTTGGCAAAAGGGAGCTGTGCCGGAGCCGCTCCCAGCACTGTTCTTTCCATGCTGGTCACCTTCCTCCTGTCGACACATGGACAGGAAAGCCTTGAGAGTAGGACAGACGTAAAGAGACCGTGGCGTCATGGGATGGGGGAGGACCAGGGGCTGACCCTGCCTAGCCCACCACCCTGCACCAGGGCACGGCAGCTTGGCTCCCACCCCTTTCCTATCGCTTTGGTATTTTATATATGTATTTTTTTAACACACTCGGAGACGCTGGGGCTCCACAGAGGATGACGCAGGCCTTGGGGAGCTGCGACAAACCTTCGGCGCACGATAACAAGCAAAGGCAAACAAACCCAGAGACGCTCCCGGGGCTGGCAGGGCTCCAGGCAGCGCAGCCGCCAAGGGAAGGCACCAGGACACACACGGGAACAAGGCAGCTCCGTACCCGGCACCCTGCTGGGCACATGGCCACCTTGATCCCACCAGGCAGTGCCTTGGCGCAGGGATGCTCTAGCCAGAGGGATGCTGGTGGTAGGGACCCCACACCCCAACCCCAGCAGCATCCCTCCAGCTGTGCTTGCACCAAAGGCCACCAAGTTCCCTGTGGCACCATGGCTGTGCTCCTGCTGCCCGAGCCCAGC